TCTATCTATCTATCTATCTATCTATCTATCTATCTATCTATCTATCTATCTATCTTTATGTATAGTACTAATACCCCACCCTTTCTGTTGAGTCTGTTCCTTCCAGGGGCATGTGTCAACCATGGGTATCCTGCCACCACGTTTCGGTCATGCCTATTACAACATACTTGTCTTCCTTAATACACACACTTCTGTGAACTCTATAATGGAATTCTTTTCACACTATTTCAGGAAGTTTTTACATCCTTTTCTTACATCCAATTTCCATTCATTCTGTTGGGAGATTATTCTGTTTTCTACTACTTCTTCATATACAACACTCATATTTTGTGTTTCTGTAGTCATTCTACGTTCAGTCTAGTTTCTTCCACTTTCTTCCACATCCATTTTCTCCAAGATACATTCCTGACAATGCCCCCAAAAATATTCTGACCCCCATGTTATCAACTTTGTATCTTTCATGAATTCTCTTTTTCATCATGAACAATCAGATCAGGCATGCTTTTAAGTTCCTTCTTTTGCCATTTGTTCACATAAATAGATCTACACTTAAAGCATGAATTCAAAACAGCAGACTTTTTTCAGGTATTTATGAGTCCTAATTTTCAGTCATTCTTGAAGTTCTGAATATTTTTTTCTCTTCTCTCTCTCTAGTTCCCACCCATTCACCTCTATTGCGTAACAGAATAATTTCCCCCCAAAATCACATTCATTCAGAATGCTGCACATTTCCCCCAAAACACACCTGATTCTTTCTTTTTTGCCATCAACAGGACTGAAATATAAACTACCCCCACTATAAATTCCTACTTTTATACATGTGGATAACAACCTAGATGACATCAATTCATATTTTTTGATGCACATTTTAGTCCTTTCATTCATAATTAAATTCATTGCTTCACTTTCAGGTTGACTTCAGTGGTGATGGCTACTTCTTTGCTGTATTGTTGATTACAGACTGGGCACTAATTACTTTTTAACTTTATCATTCTTAGACCACAAATATTACAGATAGGGGCTCCGTCTTATTTGTAAAAATAGATTTACATTTACATTTTTAGAAAATCAAATGTCTATTTTACTTTAAGAATAGTTTAGAAGATGATATAGAAAAGCTTGATTATATATATATTTTTCTCTTAAAAAGCACTAGTGGTATTTCATAGGATATCTAAATATGCAAAATTTTCTAAAATGCATTTAAACTTATGAAAATTGAGAAACAGCCCTGTGTGAAAACCTTTTTTTAAATGCCTGTTTGAATAGTTTCTTTAATTTATTATACAAGTAAAAGCTGCCATCATCTCCCTCACATTCACAAGCTATTTTTATGAGCAGTTGCTGATAAATTGAATGTATCAGCATACTGATACATTCAATTTTATGTAAGATCAAAGATCAACCTGATCAACATACTAGAAAAATATGGAGGACCCTTACCTGAAAGGTTCTGTGGCTGATTTCCAACCTAGGGGGGAAAAGCACAGTTGAAAATACCTATTAAGCAAATAAATAGCTCATCCATACACAGAAAGATTACCAGTCCCGTATCAAACCACTTCACCTCTTAGTACAGCCACAGAACATACAGGGAACATCCCAGTCCTAAACATATTTAGAAAAAGTTTCCCTAAATTATGTGGATCTTATTTCCATAAAACTGTGACCTTAAAAACAACCTAATTATTAGTATCCATAAAAATTAAAGGGAAAAAAGGCCTTACCCATGGAAGCTGAAAATCTTTCTCCACTTGTCTAGATATGATATTTTGCTGGATATCTCTTTTAGCTCCTTTTGGACTGAGTTGCACACATCACTGGATGCCTCCATGTCCATCTGTTTGCTGCACAAAACTATGTATTTTCAACATTATCGATCAGCTCTCCAGGACATACAAATGCTGTATCCTCTTTTATATAATTGCCTATAAGAAATGGCTTGAACCTAGGTTTTTACCCAAGAAGCTTGCCCCATTTTCTGTCTCCTCATTGCAGTTACTGTAAACTTAATACTGTTGCATTGCAATTAAACTTTCATTAGAGTTGTACATAGCCCTGTGTTTTCTGCCCATTGTATATATGGCATAAATGTTTAATGTAAGACACAGATTTATATAAAAACAGGCTGCAATTACATATTCATTTCATGGAAATTGGATACAGTGAAGAAGATTGACAGATTGCTTTCATACCATGGACAGGTGGCAACATATGTAAGGGTTAATGCTTTATTCAGTTTGCTTGTAGCAGAATGCTTGGTGGAATAAAATGAAACCAAAATTGTGTCCTTACATGAAGAGCCAGCGGTGAAAAATACGTTTCACAAAGTTCTCTTTATCCTCTGTAATGATAAAATAATGTCAAGTTTAGGACGTGAGAAATTTAAACTGAAGATAATCACCTGGTCTTTGATGAACATCCCTTATTGGCAGCTAGTATATAAACAGCAACAGTACATGATATATACAGTTCTACATGGCATATATGTTAACATCACACATAAAGTTAAACTGTGAATGGTGTGGTATTTTCCACTTCCAAATATTAGCTTTTTCCTTTGTTTTAGATCAGTTTTAGATACCTGGCATCTCTGTAAGATCTCATTTGGTGTTCCAAGAAAACTATTTAAATGGTTGATCACATTACATCATCATCTCTAAAATTATGATGGTGGTGGTGGTGGTGGTGATGATGATGATGATGATGATAGAAATATGGTACATTTTAAAGGCCCAAAATATTATGAAGTCCAAAACAAGGAAGAGACATTTATTATGTCATCTGAATTCTCAGATTTATCTAGAAGATGAATCATCTGGAAGAATTAGATAAACGAGTTACTGGTTACTGGTTTGAAACTGATGGTAAATTATGAAATTGTAAATATATTTTGTATTCAGTTCTTTATTTTAAAAAGGCAACAAAGCAGCAAATGCATCAGAGCCTCTATTTAATCATTTTTTTGTCTTAACATTTTCCTGTATTTTCATTGAGTAAATGTATGTTCAAACAATATGATATGCCTGGATCTGACACCACCATGATTGAATCATTTGTCTGGTGATCCAGTACCAGATGAGGAAACATAACCAAAAAAATGTGGTTTGTACATCCCTGCCCAACATAAGGTAGCACTCCACTCCCCAACTTTTGTTTCATTGTCACTTCTTCAACCCTTTCAGACAGAATTTTGCCAAACACCTTCCCAGATACACTTACTATTATTACCTTTCCCTTTGTATGGGGAAACAGTAATAGTATACTTTCAACCTTCAGGCACAAATGCAGTCTCCATTCACATGAAACAAGCCACTTCACAAGGAAGCCTCATCCATATTTTAATAGCTTTCCAGCTACACCATCTACACCTGGAATCTTATGATTTTTTAGTATTCTCATGGTATTTATGGGTTAGGGTTAGGATATTTATGGTTTCCTTGTATTTTTTTCCTTGACACTCCCCTTTTAAAAAATCACTATTACTCCCATACGTATCTCTAAAATGTTAATTTTGGCATTCCGTCACTTCAATTTCATTCCAGCTAATTTCATCACTTCTTTCCAATTCCATTCACTCTGCCGGAGCCTTCTTTTTAGTCCTCGTCTCTTCGCTTACAAGCAGTTTTTTATTTCCATCAAAATCCCTTTGCATTTTTTTCTGACTTTTGTAATCTTAATTATTCCTTTGACTATACAGGTAGTTGTTGGTTAACAATCATTTGTTCAAAGTTTTGACAGCAGAGATTTACAACTGGTTGAGGAGAACTTACAAACAGTCCTCACAGTTCTAGCCATTGCAGTGTCCTCACACCCATATGTTTGTGATTCAGGCACTTGGCACCTGGCTTGCAATTACGATGATTGCAGCATCCCGCAGTCATGTGATTGCCATTTGCAACCTTCTCAGCCAGCTTCCAACAAGCAATCAATGGGAAAGCCATCAGGAAATCTCAGCTGGGGATTTGCCAAACGACCACAACTGGAACTGAAACTGTCAGAACTGCCGCTGTAAGTCAATGTGGACACATGATGTCACACTTTATGACCACATTGCTTAGCAATGGAGTTCCCAGTCCAAATTACTGTAGTTAACTGAGGACTACCTATATTCTTTGCAACTTTTTCTGTCTATACACATTATAATATATCTTTCTCTGCCCCCCCTCTTTTTTTTTGCAACAGTGATTCTCTCACATGCATTTGTCCCTGATCCACAGCTGATTTTGTTCCAAGCATGCCCTTGCTATTTAATGTGAACTAGGATCTCTAATTCAGAGACTACTTTGCAAGGCAACAGATTATTTGCCTTCATCCTAACAACTAGAAGGTGTGTGCAGCGTGCTGACACCTTCTCAGGATGTCAGACCTGTTCTTTATCATTAAACGTAAGTCCTGTTCTTTACCATCTCAAAGTTCAGGACATGAAATAATGGCAAGTTCCAGAAAGGCAAATTCCAAATGGATGTTAGGAAAAACATTCCAATAGTACAGCAGCTTGACAGTATAACCAGTTAACAAGGGAGGGAGCAGCTTGTTTCCAAGCAGAAGTTGGATAACCATCTGTAAGGGATGCATTAATTGGGATTTCTGTATTGAACATTACTGGACTTGATTTCATGGACTTAATGCTCCCTCCAATTTCCCACCTTCTATTATGCTGTTTCCTATTAGGCCCCCACCAGCTGTTACTGAAATGTAAAAAACCAAGGATATGACATGGAAATATGCATGTAAGAATACCTTTTTTAGAAAAAATTGCTCAGTATTGCCAAACTCCTTCTGCAATGCATAAGTCTAGATGCTGAATTATAACTTAACAAGGTGTGTTTAACATGGATGCTAGGTCAAAAGGACAATATATATTATATTTTAGGAACACGTTTTCAGATGGGAGAGACAATGATTTTACTTCTTTCAGATAGACTTATTGTCTCTAGAAATTTAGAATTTTCTTTACTAAGAAAAAATATTAAAATGATGCTAGAGTCATTATGAAAGGGGAATCAGTGGCATGAAAGAGGGTACGTCGTCTTCTCTCTGATTCACTTGTCTCCATCTGTTTTTATCTTATGTGCAGCGTAGAGCCATCTCAAAATAAATTGAACCGGCACTCCATTGATCTGTAAGTTCAGTGAAGTGAAATAATCACCCTGAGTCTAGTGCTGGGTTTGTATACAAATATTGTAATACATAAATATTCTTTGTAAACAGTTGCTGTAAGGAGTAATGACGGTTAACCACTGGGAATATAAAGGAATGTCACAAGAACTGGAATGTTAAAGCTTAACTGATATTTAAATGTAATGTGCAAAAGAGAAGAGGTTTAGACAATGAAGGGGAGC